CGTTCCCGTTTCATCACCTCCGAGTGAGAATCAAGCCTAAAACGGCGGCAGAGGTGGACCGGGCTACCAATTACTGCTGGTGATGGGTTTTCACTTCATGGAAAATTGGGGTTGGTGTTAAGCGCAATCCCAGCAAACAGCATTTCCCGGACAACAAATGAATGGCCTCCAAGACCGGCCAACAAGACGTTGAAAAGACACACCAAGCACAATGCTGTCACCTTCGCAGTCAATGTTGATACCCTATGTCCATTCTGAGCATCGACCTACCTACTACGCACCAGTACATATTTCCCTCGTAGTCTGCACCCTCGCCATGTACGACACCCACACGGAACTCACCCGATGGTACCCCCCATCCACGATCAGCCATTTTCCCGTGTGCTCCGTAGTGTTGCCTTCCAGGTCGAAGAGAACGAACTTGTAGCTCGCCCAAGGCTCCTCCTCCCGCATTCGAAGTACGGACAGGTCGCGCTTCACCACGGTCTTGTCGTTTTCAGCCCCAGGGAACCCCTTCGTTGACGAGAGGATGCGACCAGAGTGGTCGCAGGACGCTTCGTACACGAGGGTCGTATAACCCTCCTTGCCCTTGTGGGTGTTAGTCTCCGAGAAAGGNCGACCAGAGTGGTGGCAGGACGCTTCGTACACGAGGGTCGTATCACCCTCCTTGCCCTTGTGGGTGTTAGTCTCCGAGAAAGGACAGGCCGGCCAGGAAATGTGGGTGCAGTCCACCGAAGCCACCGCCCCCGGACATCCCATGTCGCCGTACTCCCCCGCGACCTTTTTGAGAACCTACCCCTCCGGCAGCGTCACCCACTGATGCCACAACCCCGATGAGAAGCAGTCGCAGAACCGGTGGAACGATTTCTCCGCCGTTTGCCGGCTCATGAGAGAGAGCTGAGCGACATCCGCGAAGCAGTTCCCTCTTCCCAAGACTTGCAGCACCCCCAGCACCTGCTTGCAAGTACAGGAAGGGCAGAGTGTTTTGATTGGAGAGGGTTGCATGCGATATGAGCGGAAGGTAGCGCAGTTATGTTTTGACATGCCAGGCTAACCAGGTGTGACGTGCTCGGGCGGGCCCAAATAACATACCACAGAAATAAGGTCGCGGATGCGAGCCAGCATCATCGTACATATACTGCTGCTGTTTCACGACGCACGCGCACCAAAGCTACAGGAAAGGAATTTACAGGAAGGGGTGGGGGCAGCTACGACATCAGTGCTCTCGCGTGTTGCGTAGATGCCGCCCGTCATTCATGACAATCGTGAGGGGGGAAGACGTGTCGAAAAACTCCTGCAGTGGCAATTTTCGGCCACGCCTGCGCAAGCCACTACTGCTACTGCCGCGGCGCTTTCCGAGCATTTCCCCAGCATTTCCCCCCGCCACATGGCACCTAGGTATTCGCGTCGATGGACTCCCATGGGAAGATATTTGGAAAAGGTGCTCGGCTAGGTGTTGAGATGAGGAAATAAGGTGCCGTGTTCTTTTGCCGGTCGCGGCGGGTTCTCTGCCTGTCTCAGGTTGTGCACAAGTCAAAGTGACTACATCTCGTTGGAACGACACAGCTGTGTGTAAGCACAGGCGTAACGCCGCTGCGTCACGCCTTTTCTACTCGGCCCGAACAAAAAACACGGTTGGACAGCGGATGCAAACCGCGTTTTTGACTATCTGCTGGAGCAGAGGATAAAAACCCACGCACGTCACATTGGCATTCCGGCGGGGGGGCGCGAAAGAAACATGAAAGGGACATGAAACCATTCACTGCTTGTTAAAGGATACACTGTAGATCTGATACATAATCTACAACAGCAAGGCCATGTATCACTGCTACTACAATACCAGTAACCTAGGGTCTTACCCTGCTACCCTAGAGAGAAATGCCAGCTTTGCAGCAGGTTCGTATGTAGCCAGGCGCGTGCTAACGCAGAGGGCAGGTAGCCGCTGCCGCATGTGTTGAAACTCACTAAAAAAATAGGCCCAAAAATAACACGCCTTGCAAAACCTTGGTTGCTGCACAATACATACAGCAAGCAGTAGTTAGAAGAGGCAGAGGCTGCCGACAACGGCTTCCGCCCACGCCTTTGCTCGGGCGTAGCGGAAAGAGGCTGCTGCGGAGAGAGTAAACGATCTTTTCGAACAACACGTGCCACCCGATGAGACAGCGTGCAGACGCGCACGGAACATATTACCGCCAAGCTTTGCGACCTCTACCGAACCCACATACATGGTGGGGATCTAAAAGGCCCGACTGCTGCTGCTTCTAACCGATCACCAGCGTCAAGCGCACCTACCTTGAGCTCCAAGGGAACACACTGGCGCCCGGCAACGTCGCGGGTAGCAGTCGGGAAGACGGTTCTGACGAGGTCGACGAAGTGCCGGGAAAACTCGTACGGAACCCTGAAGTCCGAGCGGAAAGCCTTCGCTTCCCTGCTGGAGGGGACGAGCCTGCCGGCGATCCGCAGGCTCTCCAAGTTAGCCAGTCGTACGCCCCATGCACTCGAGCTGTAGTCCGGGCGCTCCCTCGTTTCACGGTCACACGGGCCGAAATCTTCCTCCTCCTCCTCTTCCTCGTCTGACCACCCATCCTCCGACTCTCCCGCCAGCGCATCTCGAAGGTTAGCGCTCATGGCCTGATTCGTGCTCTGGAGGGCGCTTGCCGCGGCCAGGGCGGCTTTGATGCTGAAACTCGCCATGGGGTTGCGTGGGTGTATCGTGTGTTTGAAATGGCCGCGCAACTGGACCCGCCGCCTCGCCGAGATTCTGTGGACTCAGCGGCCAGAGCAATCTTCGCCGAACATTGCTCCAAAAAGCGCTTTTTGGAGCTTTTGACGAATCTCGGCGAGATTCATTGCCCGGAGTACTCTCCATAGGGGGTGTACAAAAGAATCTCAATCTTAAATCGACCCCCCCCCCAAAAAAAAATCAAGATTTGAGATTTTTTGGGCCCGCCAGAAGGTCTTGTTCGTTGCTTTCGAAATTGCATTAATTGGTCGTACCCCCCCACGCTTGAACAGGGGGGGGAGAGAACAGCGGAACTCGGGGATCTCAACCTATCCCCGTCCACCACACCATCAGTATAAACCAGTCACCGACCGCACCATCAGGCATACTCTCAAAGTCATGCCTGCCCCCCTTTCTTCTCTCCGAATTGCATGCATGTACCGATATACCGACCTCAATATATCGCACATGTACCACATTGATGGTGATGCACCGTGAAGTACACCACTGCATGCCCATGTCTAGTCGCGCTACCTCGTCAAGCTCATTAACGGTCGCACACACGCGGTACCTCACGAACCCCCACGTTGGGTTCGCACCCGCCCCCGCTCCCGACCGCCGGCCCACGGCTACGGCCGACCCTGTCGACCATAACCAATCAACCAGTCACTGTGCACTCGCCGCTCGTGGCACAGCAACTTAGGCGCTCTCACCCGCACTGAGAGCACCGCCAACATCCCTAACGCGACGGACACACCCGGGCAAGAATCATCTACCCAAACACCCTCGCCCCGTCAGCAGTATCGGCAAACGACCGCACCTTCCTCATTTGCCACTGCTGGCGATCCGTCCTCGCCCTACCACTGACACCCCCAAAAGCAAAAGGGTGGGTGGGTGGGAAAGAAATAGATCTCCTCCGAAATACCTCTTGGCTGCAGCAGCCTCCCTCGTGCTTCCTTGGGGCAGACCAACAAGTGCTCCCAAGTCTACTCTTCTGGTCAGGTTTCAGACACTTCACGCTGACTCCATGCTGCTGCACTCTGATTGGCCAACAGATATTTCATCTTCCGCTCCTCACAAAACTCAGATTTCAACGCCTCTGTCTCTGCAATCTTCTGCTTTGTTCGTTGCTTTCGAAATTGCATTAATTGGTCGTACCCCCCCACGCTTGAACAGGGGGGGGAGAGAAGAGCGGAACTCGGGGATCTCAACCTATCCCCGTCCACAACACCATCAGTATAAACCAGTCACCGCACCATCAGGCATACTCTCAAAGTCATGCCTGCCCCCCTTTCTTCTCTCCAAATTGCACGCATGTTCCGATATACCGACCTCAATATACCGCACATGTACCACATTGATTGTGATGCACCGTGAAGTACACCACTGCGTGCCCATGTCTAGTCGCGCTACCTCGTCAAGCTCATCAACGGTCGCACACACGCGGTACCTCGCGAACCCCCACGTTGGGTTCGCACCCGCCCCCGCTCCCGACCGCCGGCCCACGGCTACGGCCGACCCTGTCGACCATAACCAATCATCCAGTCACTGTGCACTCGCCGCTCGTGGCACAGCAACTTAGGCGCTCTCACCCGCACTGAGAGTACCGCCAACATCCCTAGCGCGACAGACACACCCGGGCAAGGATCATCTACCCAAACACCCTCGCCCCATCAGCAGTATCGGCAAACGACCACACCTTCCTCATTTACCACTGCTGGCGATCCGTCCTCGCCCTACCACTGACACCCCCAAAAGCAAAAGGGTGGGTGGGTGGGAAAGAAATAGATCTCCTCCGAAATACCTCTTGGCTGCAGCAGCCTCCCTCGTGCTTCCTTGGGGCAGACCAACAAGTGCTCCCAAGTCTACTCTTCTGGTCAGGTTTCAGACACTTCACGCTGACTCCATGCTGCTGCACTCTGATTGGCCAACAGATATTTCATCTTCCGCTCCTCACAAAACTCAGATTTCAACGCCTCTGTCTCTGCAATCTTCTGCTTTGTTCGTTGCTTTCGAAATTGCATTAATTGGTCGTACCCCCCCACGCTTGAACAGGGGGGGGAGAGAAGAGCGGAACTCGGGGATCTCAACCTATCCCCGTCCACAACACCATCAGTATAAACCAGTCACCGCACCATCAGGCATACTCTCAAAGTCATGCCTGCCCCCAATTCTTCTCTCCAAATTGCACGCATGTTCCGATATACCGACCTCAATATACCGCACATGTACCACATTGATTGTGATGCACCGTGAAGAACACCACTGCGTGCCCATGTCTAGTCGCGCTACCTCGTCAAGCTCATCAACGGTCGCACACACGCGGTACCTCGCGAACCCCCACGTTGGGTTCGCACCCGCCCCCGCTCCCGACCGCCGGCCCACGGCTACGGCCGACCCTGTCGACCATAACCAATCATCCAGTCACTGTGCACTCGCCGCTCGTGGCACAGCAACTTAGGCGCTCTCACCCGCACTGAGAGTACCGCCAACATCCCTAGCGCGACAGACACACCCGGGCAAGGATCATCTACCCAAACACCCTCGCCCCATCAGCAGTATCGGCAAACGACCACACCTTCCTCATTTACCACTGCTGGCGATCCGTCCTCGCCCTACCACTGACACCCCCAAAAGCAAAAGGGTGGGTGGGTGGGAAAGAAATAGATCTCCTCCGAAATACCTCTTGGCTGCAGCAGCCTCCCTCGTGCTTCCTTGGGGCAGACCAACAAGTGCTCCCAAGTCTACTCTTCTGGTCAGGTTTCAGACACTTCACGCTGACTCCATGCTGCTGCACTCTGATTGGCCAACAGATATTTCATCTTCCGCTCCTCACAAAACTCAGATTTCAACGCCTCTGTCTCTGCAATCTTCTGCTTTGTTCGTTGCTTTCGAAATTGCATTAATTGGTCGTACCCCCCCACGCTTGAACAGGGGGGGGAGAGAAGAGCGGAACTCGGGGATCTCAACCTATCCCCGTCCACAACACCATCAGTATAAACCAGTCACCGCACCATCAGGCATACTCTCAAAGTCATGCCTGCCCCCAACCTAACCGCGGACTGGTTTCCATACTGATCTGTACTCTCTCTCCCCCCCTACCGTGGTTCCCACTCTTGTACCGACCAATAAACCCTGATCGCATTCACTCCCCCCTCCTTTTACGGCTCGCCCTCACCAGCCTCGGGGACTACGTCACCCCACTCTGTACCCTGTCCTGGTTGCCTCTCTGAATCACCCTCCGACGCCAAGGTACTAGAAACCCACTCTGCATCTTTCCCATGGTTCCTTACGTACGGCCGATACCCCGATTCCCCAGTCCATCTCCCCTCTCGTCTCAGAACTTCTGGCGACGCTCCCCCCGCTGCCAAGTACGTGGCGCCCCCAATCCGAAGGGAGTGCAACGCGTACTCGGACGACGGCAGACCCGCCAACGACACGACTTGCCGCAGCGCTTCCGTCGCGTGACGACGAGTCCACACGGACCATCGCCCCTCCCCGGTTCCGAACGCGACTAACGGAGCAGACGAAGGGAGAACAGGGAAGCATGAAAGGAGTTCAATCATCACATCGACTGCACCCCCCCCACACTCCACAGACTGGGGAGGCCCCGGCCTCGCCCGCGTACACACGGCGCCCTTCCGAAACTGGTCGCCTTTGGACGACCGAAACCGCACCTCGACTCTGTCGGCCTCTCCCCTCCGTTCCGGAGGCAACTGGCGAGAACCCAAAAAAAACGCCACGTCCCCCCGACGCAACCCATGACAAGAATCCATGGCCAACGAGGACACAGCGAACATTTCGCATGCCCGCATCAAGAAAAAAAATGACGCACTCAACGCCAGAAACAACACGCGCCCACCCGTGCCCCACTGTGGCACCAGACGCCCCCCTTCCTTCAGCATCGACCACGACACCGGACGTCGCACCCGTTGCTGTGCACCAACACCCGCATGCCCTCGCGCCACCCCTTTGAGCGCTTGCTTGATCAAAGAATGACATGTATCAACTTCCATCGCATACGCCAAACGATGAAAAAATTTAACAGCAGACAAATGACCAGCTATCGTCGTCTGCCTCAAGCCCAGCACCGTGAACGCGTATGCCACGTACTCCAACAATTGCGAAACAATATCCGGCGATGGAGACGACGGCATCATAAACGTCGGTCTCCCCACAACGTCCTCTCGAAACTTCACCCACGCTCCAAAAAATCCCAGGTAAGTTCGTTCAGACGATGGCGCAAGTGCGTGCCGGACGAGCTCGAAGCCAGCACGGTGGAGCACAACTCGCGCTCCTTCGGGCCTAACTCCACGATCTGCCAGGCCACATGAGGGGAGGCAGAGCACAGGTTATCGTGAACGTCGTTAGTATTCCAACGGGAGATACCATCCGCAAGCGAGTTACGTATGCCGGGAACATGGGTCGCGTGGAAATGCCACCCGCTGGCTACCTCCAGCGCCCCCAGTAGGCGCACCAGCGCCCCCGATCGAGGCTCAAGGCCCCCCCGACAACGCTCAATCCACGCCGTCGCTGCTTCATTGTCTCCTCGAAGGCGCACACAATCACCCGCCTCCACAGGCTGGTGACTTCGGCCCAATACCAACATCCATGCCCCCATGACCATGCCAAGGAGCTCTAACACGTTGATGCTGACATCATGAACCCCCTGGACCGATTTGCTCGACCCCACAAAGCAAGCTTGCTCTTTCACAGACAGATCGTATCGAAAGTAGTGGCCCGTTTGCAAACAATACCCTCCAATTGCTTGCTTAGACGCATCGGTGAACACGGATAGTGCAGGCGGGCGTTCCAAAATATTGTACATGGGTGCACACAAACTTCCGCCGCGCAACGAGAGACCACGCCTGTGGAACCACCGCCAAAATTCGAGGTCATCGTGGAATAATGGACCCAGCACTACACGTCTGTTCGGGTTTGGCACTTGGGACGCGAAAGTAGACGAAGCGGG